TCACATCGAAAACAATAGTAGCGTATTTAACTCTTTTCTCAGTGCTGCATTTGCAGAAATCGAAAAACTTCCACTAAAAACGGCTTTGTACATAAACGAAGGGAAACAAAAAAAAACAGGATCAATCACAACTTTCCTAAACTAGCAAATCGAAAGAGATTATTTCTGTAATCTATCGAACATGTATAAAATCAATGTTGTGTAATCCATCGAACATGTATAAAATCAATGTTGAGAGATTCCTTTTGTAATGGCGGAATGAAGAGAAATGTTGTTGGGAAGAACAAGAACACAGATTCTGTCTCAATGTTATAGAGTTTTGGGGAAGATATCATCTCACCTATTTCCTCCTATAATGATGACACTGTGTATGATAGCTCTGATGGTACCTTTTAGGACTGCATGATTCTTTAAGACTTAGATGAGAGATAATTGTGTTGCCTTTTTCGCTAGAATCGTACTCATTCTATTGCAAAATGTGATTTCCACTCTTGTTGAGTTTCACATTGATGTTTTCTGCTTTTTTTTTTTTCAAAAGGTACTCTAAACCATTTGTTCCCAAGGAATTTCGCACCGCAGAGGAAACAAGGGCCACGATATAACTTCCTTTGGAGTAATGATATGGTTAGCAGTTTCATTTTTCACTGCAGGGCAACAATTAGGAACCAACGGTTTGATCTGGAGACAATTAATAAATGGTTTTCCTATGTGACTTGAATTGGCTTGCCTGTGTGGAATCGTTGGGACTGAATGACGACCTCCAATTACTGATGAGGTCTGTTCGATTGAATATCACAAATCCTTCCAAGTAGTCGAAAGCATTCTCCTTCCAAATCAAGATGATACTTTACCATATATATATTTCTGACCACTTACATATTCCAATAACCATGCTCAAGGTGATACTTTACCATATGCGGTGCTGGTCCAAGAGAGATCCGTGCCCAGATGATTATGCCAAACTGTCCAAGCTCCCCCGAAAAACACTGTAGAAATGTTCAGAATTCCTCTTTTCAGAACAGGTCACAACTTCTCCTTTCCCTGATTCAATATGTAAAATATATTGTTTATCCATTGTTTATTTATATAATTTCTTTCTTGCAAGTTACAAGTGCACATTGGCGCCTACACACTCCTTTTTAGTTCCAAATCCTATGCAAGTCTTTAGTGTTTTAGCTCTTGGTGAGATGCATATTCTTTACTTGTGCGTACTTTTTGTGAGACTACCATAGAGATATAGCATGACTGAAATACCTGTGACAATCTCTAGCTGGTAGAGTACCTCCAACAGTATTAGATACTGTTGATTTGGGGTCCATGCTTGAACGCTTGACCACTGATTCCAGCATTAGATAGAGTACCTCCAACAGTCAGATGAAGATAGTCTGTCCAGGACTTTGGTGAAAGACCGTATTTTAGAGTCTCGCGTAGAATGTTGATCCATAGTTCACCACTGAAGACATCGACATACGGTTGCTGTCCCTTGTAAATCCTGATATCATGACTTCAAAGCGACTTACAACACCTTGATGAGGTAGAGCTTGTCCTTGAAGCGAGTGACCATGGCCTCTGGCCGCATTGTGGACATCATTGAAGCTTACATAACCCTCAAAATCTAGTGAATATAATGAGGAACAAATATCTGAAGGATTTGAAGGAGGTAAATCTATTGGGGGTAGTAACAGAATGATTGGAACAAAGATTGGGTCGACCTGGCATACAGCTTAGAACCAAGACCATGAAGATTCTGAGGAAAGTTTTGTTGTTTCGTTTAAGGATCCCACAAGGATGAGGTCAAAATCCCATTTCTACTGTTTTGAGAGAAATTGTTAAGACCGATATGCGGGATGATAGGGAGGAAGTAGAGGTAAACTTGAGGTTTAGAGCATTCTGGAAAAAGGAAGTAGAGACGGGAATTGAAAGGAAAGGTTTTGGGAAGTACAGTTATATACTTGTGCTCACTATATATAGTTATATTGTCGTTACTTTTTGTCTCTTGCTGCAAATTGAGATATCTTTGTGGCATTTTATTTTTGGTTTGCATAATTTACAGTGTGAAAGTTACCAGAAAAGTATTTCTAAAATTTCTATTTCCGATCTTTTTTTTATGGTAGGTTCACATCAGGAGCACATGCATTCTCTCCCTACCAAGATTTTCTGCATGAAAAGGTAAAAGCTTTTGTTTTACTGTAATGGAGAATAATAGTTGAGCTCAGTTTAAGAGACGACAATCTTGGCCATTTCGTCTGGTAATCTTATGGGACCATTTTGCATCACTTGATCCTGTCAGTTCTTGTAGCATTTAAATTTGACAATATAAAGCTTGGAAGTAAGTTACCCCTTACGGGCCAAACATGAAGCATTGGCTTAGTATTCCTTGCAGAATGGATACAGAGCTGTCCTAAACTCATGTTGTAACCAAGCATTCTGGTGTAGAGGCGGAAGATTGTCAAGAAGTGAGTCTCTGTTTTCGGGACGTAAAAACAGAGCACGTGAAAACAGGGGAGGTTGATGGAATGATGTGATTGAATGATGGCCGAGATGGTTGGTTTGTGAGAGCGGAAACGAAACGAGATGGCACGAAGTGGATAGAGATGAGAGTACTCCTCTCAGGTCCTACACGAAGGCAAGATCTTTGGGCAATTAAGATTGCCTCTTTTTGGGTTTTTTTATTAACTTCAAATCAATGATGTTGATAGAAAGACTTGAGACTCTTTATAAAGCTAAAATGACAAAGATACGATCTAATCCTAAATCTAAACTGATAAGTTGTTAAACTTTATCCTAATCAATAAGAGAAAATAAATCAAAAACAAAACTAGAAATGAAACTTGTTGAGCACGTAACTCCACACTTGTCCGTATGCTCAACAACACCAACGATGCGCTGCATCACATTCTCTGCTCATAATTATCATTAAAAAGGTACAATTCTCAAAGAAGAATTAATATCAAGCGATATGACCTCTGTATGTAAACGATCGAGTAATCCTTAGTCGAGGGAAATTTTTAGCTTCTGGTTTCTTCTTCAAACTCTCAGTTCTTTTGTGCTATGATTTTGAATTGGTCGAGAAAGAAAAAGTAATGGTATATTTCCAATATTATTAAGCAAATTATTCTATTTTCGATTATTTAAAAAAAAAAAAAGCCCTATTAGAGCATGTTCAATGGTGACTCTTAATACAACTTCT